CTTGATTTCGTTGGTGTTCATCTTCTCGGCTTATTGCTTTGCATCGCTTTTATTGCTTTGCTTTGTATTTTGTTAAGTGGGCTCCTTACTATTAGGTTTCCCTCTTAGCCATTTGTCAAGTTTCACTCGAATTTTTTTCTTTTTTGTTTGCTATATGGTCTTTCAAGGAGCCTGTTCCTTCTCTGATCATCTTTGCTTCTGAACCTGTTGGTTTATCCAGCATTGTATATATTTTTTTGATCTTTTTATTCACTTACATTTTGATAAAAAAAAAAGAAAGAGCTCTCCTATAGAATCAAGAAAGAGCTCTCAGAAAAGAGCTCTCAGTAGAGAGAGAAATTAGAGAGAGATGCTCTCCTTCCGTATGAAGATTTTCCCTCATGTACACTGATCTCCTGCCACTGTTTGCTTTCTCCGTTCCTATGATCTGCTGTTTCTTGTCTTCCTTCTAGTTATGGCTAACAAAAAGAAGAAGACTGGGTCCCATAAATCTCAGTTGAAACAGCAAAATTCTGCACTTATTCATGATTTAACTGTTCTAGCTTTAGCAGCCCCTTCTTTGTCTCGTACTGTTCATGCTACAGTGCATCACAATTCAAATTTGAATCACAGCCCGCCGAATGCTTCAGGCGCTGATTGTACTTGTACTGATCATCATGTCATCTCTTCCCCGCATGGTTCAGAGCCTCAGCATCACACTGATCCATCCCCCAGTATTAATCATGTTTTTGTCCATGATTGGTCTGATGAAGAAGATTTGGAAGATGAGGAAGTGGATTTTGATTCTTCTCCTGAGGATTACGCAAGGGGCTCAAAATTTTTCACCTCTCCAGTGGTATTGGCCCCACCTGTGCCTGTTGCATCCTCAGCAAGTGCTCAGCCAACCACAGTTGGGTCCCCTGTAGTCGTTCAATCTGCTGATGTTGCTTCCCCTGTATCTGGCCAGCCAGCTGTTGTTGCCAAGGCCACATGCACCATGTCAGTCCCCAATAACACCAAGTTTGCTCCTGTGGATCCTGTGGTATGCGGTAATCCCAACCATTCTGAGCCTTCTTCTAGCTCCTGGCGCAATTTGTTTGTTTCTAATCGTGACAATATTCGTTGCCCTAAGCTCCTCCATTATTCTGCTTTTACTGATACTCGAGGCTGTAATTTGCTTGATGATGACTTAGACACTAAATGTGATCTTTGGAAGCGTTGCCTTGTTGGTTATATTGCTGGTCGTTCACCAGGCTTCAAAGCTTTGCAAAATCTTATTCTCAACATATGGCAATGTGAGGCATCCATAACTATTCATGATTCTGGTTGGTTGATTTTTACTTTTGTCAATGATGCTGACAAATTGAATGTTTTAGATGGCGGCCCTTATTTAGTTTATGGTAGGCCTCTCATTCTTAAGTCAATGCCAGAGTATTTTGAATTCTCATCTAAGGAGATGCACACTGTTCCGGTATGGGTTAAATTCCCTAATCTCCCACTTAAATGTTGGTCAGTCAAATGTTTGTCAAAAATAGCCAGTGTTCTTGGCAGACCTGTTCAAAGTGACATGTTTACTGCTTCTATGGCCAGACTTTCCTATGCCAGGGTATTGGTTGAAGTAAATTTATTATCTGATCTGCCTTCCTCCATTGAAGTTACTTTGCCGAATAGTAGCATACTTCATCAACAAGTTGTGTATGAAACTCTCCCACGGTTTTGTAAGCATTGCAGAAAACTTGGACACTTAACTTCCACTTGCACCAACATCCCAACTTCTAATATCACAAGAAATCCAAAGACAATTGTCTCTGTCGCCCCTGCTCCCACAAGCAACAATTCTGTTTGCATTTGTTTGGAACCTCAACAAGGCCCTACTGTGAATGACAAGCCGGAGGTAAACTTGCCTGATGCTTCTATTCCCTATTCCACTCCGGTTGAGACTGAGTTGGACACCATGAGAAGAGATGCTACATCTAACCCTGATGGATGGGAAGTAGTTCAACGGAAAAAAGGGAGACGCAAGCACTCCCCCTCAAGGGATTCTTTGAAATCCCGTCAGGTGGACTCCCACCTGTCTCACAAGGCCACTCATCCGGTTCAGGAGGAAAGCCAACTTCATTCCCCAACAACTGTCATTCACACCATTCCAGCACCCCCTCCTCAAGTGGATTCTGGGACTGCTCAGGGCAAATCTGTGGTTGCTATAAGTGCACTAGGACAACACCAGACTTCTACTACGACTCCAGCTCCAGCTTCCGTTTCCAAAGGCAGGGATTCTGTTTTCCACAGGTTGGGATCACAACCTCACTGTGATTGTCCGCTCCCTCCTTTAAAGCCTGGTTCCTCCATCACTCCAACATCTCCTTCTGATTTAGTTGGCACAAGGGGTGATAAGGGCAAGTCTGTGGTTGTTTCAGGTGCTCAAGGTCGTTCCCATTCAAAAGATTTACCCCCAAAGAGGGGGGCTCTGCAACGCACTAATGATGTCCCTAACAGGGGCGAGGGGTTACTTCCCACCCCCCCTTATCCATGAAGATTTACTGCTGGAATGTGAGAGGCCTAAACAGTCCTCTCAAGCAACATGAGGTCGCAAGCCTCATGAAGAAGAATAAACTAGATGTTTGTTGTCTTGTGGAAACCAAACTGTCTTCTTCTGCTGTGTCTTTCAAGCATAGACTCCGACTCAAGAATTGGAGATTTTTGTCTAATGTTGCAGCTTCAAACACTGCACGTATTTTGGTTCTTTGGAACCCTTCTACTGTTTTGGTGGAGCTTGTTGATCTTTCTTCCCAGGGTCTTCATGTCACCATCAATAGCTTGGTACATCACTATTCTTTTACTTCAACTTTTGTTTATGGTTATAACACTATTATTGCTCGTAGAGCTCTTTGGCAAGACTTACAGAGATGGAACTCAACCTCTCCCTGGATTATTATGGGCGACTTCAACTCTCTGTTATCTCAAGAGGACAAGCACAATGGAGAGCCTGTCTCCTCTTATGAAGTTGCTGATTTTCGATCTTGTTGCTCTATGTTAGGTCTTTCTGACCTTAACTTCACTGGTAGCCATTTCACCTGGACAAATGGTAAAATTTGGAGCAAGATTGATAGAGTCTTGATTAATCCTCACTGGTCGAGCTTTCAACACTTTGTTCATGTCCATTTTAGCACCCCAGGTACCTTCTCTGACCACTCTCCCATATCGGTCTGTATTGGGCCCCAATATAAACCAAAGAGAACTAGCTTCAAGTTCTTCAACATGTGGGTAGAACATCAGGACTATCAATCTCTCCTTTTGGAGCACTGGCATGCTGAGGTTTATGGTTCCCCGATGTATGTCTTATGCAGGAAACTCAAGCTCCTCAAAGGTCCTTTAAAACAGCTTAACAAACTTCATTTTGGTCACATCTCAGAAAGAGTTTGCCGAGCTGAAGCTCAACTAGACCAACACCAATCTTTGCTTCAAGTCCATAAGGACAACATCCAATTACTGGAGCAGGATCGTAAACTTCGCCTGGAGCTTGTTAATCTTAAATCTTTTGAGAAGATGTTCTATAGCCAAAAACTAAAATACAACTTCTTTAGGGACTGTGATCGAGGGACTAGCTTTTTCCATGCGTTGATGAATCAAAAGCACAAGAAGAACTTCATTCCTACAATTCACCGTAGTGATGGCTCCCTCACAACTTCCCAAAGTGAGGTAGGGGATGTTTTTATTAAATTCTTCTCTCAGCTGTTGGGTACTTCGGGTGCTACATCCCCTTTGGATGAGTCTGTTGTTGGTTATGGTCCTTGTATAGATCCCTCTTTGCATGCCTCTCTACTGGCCAATGTCTCTTCTGATGATATTAAAGCAGTCCTCTTCAGTATTGGTGACAACAAATCTCCAGGCCCAGATGGTTATTCAGCTTTTTTCTTTAAGAAGTCCTGGGATGTGGTTGGTCCTGACCTATGTGCTGCGGTGCAAAGTTTCTTCCAATCTGGTCAGCTTCTTAAGCAGATAAACCATTCTATCATAGCTCTGGTTCCGAAGTCTGCCCAGGTTTCTGATGCCATGGACTTTAGACCCATTTCTTGTTGTAATGTAGTGGACAAGATCATCTCCAAAATTCTAGCTACCAGAATGGGGCGTGTCCTTGATAGCATCATCAGCCCCCTGCAAAATGCCTTCTTGGGTGGTCGTCGCATGAATGACAATATTAATCTTCTACAGGAGCTGCTCAGGCACTATGAAAGGAAACGAGCCTCCCCTAGATGCCTCATCAAAATTGATTTTCGAAAAGCTTTTGACTCTGTCCAATGGCCTTTTCTGCGGCATCTTCTCCTCCTTCTTGGCTTCCCTGATCAATTTGTTCACCTAGTCATGACCTGTGTTGAAACGGCTTCATATTCAGTTGCTGTCAACGGAGAGTTGTTTGGGTTTTTTCCAGGAAAATGCGGTGTGAGGCAAGGGGATCCTCTCTCTCCCTACCTTTTCATCATTTGCATGGAATACCTTTCTAGGATGCTGCGCTTAGCATCCCAAAATCCTGACTTTCGGTTTCACCCAAAATGTCAAGAGCTTGGTCTCTCTCACCTTTCATTTGCTGATGATATTATTCTACTTTGTCGAGGGGACAGGCTTTCAGTTCAAGTGCTCCTTCAGCAATTGAAGCTCTTCGGGCAAATGTCTAGCTTGAATATTAACACTTCAAAATCATCCATATTCTTTGGTGGTGTAACTGCTCCATTGAAGCAAACTATTTTAGCTGATACTGGCTTCTCTGAAGGTGCTTTCCCTTTCAGATACTTAGGCGTTCCTCTAAGCCCTCACAGGCTCCTTGCAAGCCAGTATTCTCCGCTAATACACAAGCTAGAAACTGCTATTCAAGGTTGGCTAGGTAAACATCTCACTTATGCAGGAAGACTTGAACTTATCAGATCTGTCTTGTATGGGATGGTTCAGTTCTGGATCAGTATCTTTCCTATGCCGCATGCTGTCATCAAGCAAATCACTAGCCTTTGTAGAAACTTCTTATGGACAGGTAATACTTGTCGAAGCAAGGCTGCCCTTGTAGCATGGAAAACTGTTTGTCTTCCGAAGAATGAAGGAGGCTTGGGCTTGATTGATATCCAAGTGTTTAACAACTGCTTCCTTGCCAAGCATATCTGGAACATTCATCTGAAGGAAGACTCCGTTTGGATTAGATGGATTCATCACTTTTATTTAGCCAGGCACTCCATTTGGCACGCCTCTGCTCACAAGAATTCCTCCCCGTTATGGAAATCATTCATCCTTCTCAAAAACCAACTTGTTGAGACATATGAGGGCCACCAACAAGTTATTGATTTAATGGCCAGTTGGGCACATAATGATGGAGGCTTCACCTCTAACGCTTATGCCTCCCTCAGAATTCGAAGTTCAGTAGTCCATTGGGACAAGATTGTTTGGGAATAATGGGCTCTTCCCAGGCATTGCTTCACCCTTTGGCTGGCCATTCTTGGGAAACTTCGCACTAAAGATCGACTGAGGTTCCTCTCCATAGACACTCTATGCGTATTCTGTAGGCAAGTAGAGGAAAGTCATGAGCATTTGTTCTTTGGTTGTGCCTGGACATTCTCTTTGTGGTGCATGGTAAAATCTTGGTTAAATCTTCGCAGGAATATGTCCACTCTAACCAGTGCAGTTCGCGGTCTTCCTTGCAGAAAGAAAAGCTTGGTTGCTAGAATGAAAAGAGTTTCTCTCTGTGTTCTAGTCTACCTTCTCTGGGAGGAAAGAAATAGAAGAATTTTTTAAGATAAATGTACTTCACTTGCCGTCCTCTTTCAGAAATTCCAAATCATATTCTACATGCTCCTTCACTTTCATAAGAAGGACCATAACCTCCTCCCGGTTGCTTGGTGACTTCCTCAGTGCATAATCTATTGTGGCTGCTTAATAATAGGCAGTTTAAGTCTTCTGTTTTGTTGGGAGTCGGACTAGCTTCTCAGTTGTCTTTACTCGAGCTCCTCATTTCCTTTCCAGCATTCTTTGCGTGGCTCCTTATCTCTCCGAGATTTCTCTCCATGATCGTGCTGCTTTCCTTTCTTCTGCATGTCCCATGCACGTGGCTGGTAGTATTGGGTTCTCTTCTTGGTGGTGGTTGCTGCTCTCCTTTCCAGCAATTGAGCTCCCTTCTCTTCTTATTTAGGGGCTGTTGGGTTTTTTGGCTGTCTCCTCGTCTCCACAATTCTTACACGGTTATGCATATAATTTGCATAATTAATCTCAATGCTTCCTGCGGTGTTCAGTCCTGATTGGTTGGGTTCCTCCACCATTAATATTTGCTGGCTGTATATAGTCACTCTTCACGTGGGGAATCATCTCGGTGGGCTAGCTTTTTCTGCTTTGCTGCAGCCCCTTCAATGCTCCTTTCTGTCTTTCTTTGATGTGTGGCCTTTAGATTGGACGATTTGCTTGTGCTTCACGTGGGCTTTGTTATTTCCCTAGGTGCCATTATTTGGCTCTGTAGCTTTATTGCATGGCTTCAACGACTTGCATGGCTTTCATGGCTTCCTCTCAGGCTGCCTTGTCTTTGGCCTCCACAATTGGCTTCTACGCTACGGGCTCTCCTGCATTCAGTTCTCAGTTTCCTTCTTCTGTTGTTGCTGTAGCTGATTCATCTTTGTCGGCTTCATGCTTGCTTTTATAGCTGTTCATTTCTTCAGTTGGTGGCTTCACTTACATTGCTTTACTTTGTTCTCGGTTAAGAAGGGCTCCTTATTTTTAGGTTCTCCTTTTAGTCGTTTTTCGTTCTTTCTCTGATTTTATTTGTGGATTGCTATTTGGTCGATAAGGGAGCCTGTTCCCTTTGTGATCATCTTTGCTTGTGGACTTGCTGGTACTCCAGCAATGTATTTATTTTTTGATCTCTTTATATACTTACATTTTGATCAAAAAAAAAAAAAAAAGAAAGAGCTCTCCTTGATGAGCCAACGGCATAGAAGGCACCATATTCCAGCCATAGTACGAAGTGATGGCATGATTACTTCTTCAGCTGAAGAGGTTGGTAGAGTGGTTGTAGCTTACTATAAAGAGCTCCTGGGACTTCCAAGAATACTATTCCTCCTAGAGTAGATGTAGTTCAAAGTGGCGCCTACATTAATGCTGATTCCCATGAATTCCTCCTTCGCCCAGTTTTGGTTGATGACATCAAACGGGTCCTCTTCAGTGTGGATGATAATAAAGCTCCGGGGCCTGATGGTTACACCTCAGCATTCTTTAAAAAATCTTGAAGCATAGTTGGCGAAGATTTTTGTTCAGCTGTTAAAGATTTCTTTGCATCAGGGGAGATCCTCAAACAGATTAATCACTCTACAATAGCCCTTGTTCCAAAGTCAGCAACTGCCAACTCTGCTGTAGATTATAGACCTATCTCTTGCTGCAATGTAACATACAAAGTTATTTCCAAACTACTTGCAGAGAGACTAGCTCATGTATTAAATGATATCATTAGCCCTTCTCAAAATGCTTTTCTTGGTGGGAGACTCATGGCTGACAATATTAATCTCATGCAAGAGCTGCTGAGAAGTTATGGCAGGAAATGTGTATCACCCCGCTGCACCATCAAAATTGACTTCAGGAAAGCCTTTGATACAGTTTAATGGTCATTTCTTCATGATCTTCTCCACCTTTTGGGGTTCCCTGCTAGGTTCGTTCATCAGCTTATGAAATGTGTGGAGACTGCCTCTTTCTCTGTTTGCATTAATGGTAATTTATTCGGGTTCTTCCAAGGCAAGTGTGGTGTTCGGCAAGGAGATCCATTGTCTCCCTATCTCTTCATTATTTGCATGGAGTACTTCTCTAGATTACTGAAAAGCACCACCCAGCATTCAGGTTTCAATTTCCATCCCAAATGTCAAGCTTTGGAAATCAGTCATCTTGGGTTTGCTGATGACATTCTCCTGCTTTGCCGATGTGACATGGCCTCCATTAATATTCTCCTCCAGCAGCTTCGAATTTTTGGGGAGTCATCTGGCCTTGTAATTAATGCAACAAAATCCTCCATTTTCTTCGCTGGTGTATCGGAGGATATGAAGCTGGCCATCCTCAGCCTCTCCCAGTTCACCGAAGGAAGCTTTCCCTTTAAGTACCTTGGTGTCCCTCTAAGCCCTCACAGGCTTCTCGCCAGTCAATTCTCCCCTCTCATTCACAAGTTAGAATCTGCTATACAGAATTGGATGGGAAAGTACCTATCATATGCAGGTCGTCTAGAGTTAATTAAATCGGTCCTGCATGGCATGGTGCAGTTTTGGATTAGTATCTTCCCTATCCCAGCTGTTGTTATCAGCAAGATTACCGGTTTGTGCAGGAACTTTCTATGGACTGGTGATATGCTTAGAAGTAAATCAGCGCTTGTAGCGCTATTGCTGGGAGAGCGCTATTGACCAATGTCATTCACGTCCCTGCATGGAAATCATCATGGATGGAGTAGTTGCTGTTGTGCTGTCATTTGGATGAGGGCTAGACGTGGTAGCCTTGGTTCTGCATGGGGGTTGAGCAGCTATTCACCGGTGCTTCACTGCTATTGGCCTATTATTTTTTTCAGCTTTATCTGGGATGGCCCTCCTCCTTGCATGGCCGAATATTAATTGTGATTCTGCATGAATAGCTGGTTGTGTCTTTGCATGGATGAGTTGTGTGCACGGCTTCCTTTCCTTGCTGGCTGGATGTGCTGTTAGCTCTCGATGGATATTTTGGCTTCGTTGGCAGGTTGCTTAGCTTGGCTGGTTGTGCGCTATAATTTCTCTGGTTTGTTTTAAATGTGGCTTATATTGGCCTCGGGGTAGTTTATTAAATGTTATTTTTCATGGGAGCTTGTTCCCATTTTGGTTTAGGGTATTAGTTGCCCAATCTCTGTATATATTTTGTGTTTTGCCATTTTTGTGGCATGGTTACTTTTGATCTTAATATATATTCTTACATTTGATCAAAAAAACAGAAAGAGCTCTCAGTACTCTCCACTTTCTTCATGGCCAAGAACAAGCGCAATCCACGCCGACCCCCTGCAAAAAGTCAACAGTTACATGATAACCCTGTTCTTGCTCTGGCTGCTCCTCCCATTCCTTCTCCGCCTCCTCCTCTTCTCCCCTCCCCTTTAATTCCCACCCCCCCTCCTACAGCGGTGGCTGGTGGGTCCAGTCCTGATAAATTTCTAATTCTTGCTGAGAAAGAGTATGTTCCTCAACCGTTTTTCCTCTCTCCCTCCACCCCTGATCATGTGATTGTAGAGGACTGCTCTGATGAGGATGATTATGATGAAGATGAAGTTGATTACTCTGCATCTGGAGGAAGTTCCAAGTTTTTTCGCTCCCCTGTGCCACCCTTTACGGACAACAACCTAGATACCAGTGTTTTGAGGGTTTCACCCTTGAGTGGTACTGGGAAATCAGTAGCTACAGTGGCTACTTCCACAAAGAAGGGACCTTCTCCTGTGCCTACTCCTCATCACAATATATCATCTCTTGTTGTGACAGATCATAATATTCCAACTGTAGTCTCCTCACCTACAGTGGCTCCTCATTCATGCACCTCTCCTTCTACTGCACCTGTTGAGCAATGGAGAGATTTATTTGCCACCAACCGCAACACTATCACAGGTCCTAAATTACCGCATTTCTCATCCTCTTGCAATGATTTACCCTGTGACTTGTCTTCTGATGATTTAGATCATAACTATGATGTCTGGCAATTATGTATTGTGGGCTATGTTGCTGGAAAGTCGCCTGGTTTCAAGGCATTGAATAACATTATATCCAGTTCTTGGCAGTGTGAAGCCTCTTTGACTATTCATGAATCTGGTTGGTTAGTTTATAGATTTAACAATGTTGATGATAAACTTGATGTTCTTGCTAATGGACCTTACTTGATATATGGCCGACCATTGATTATCAAAGCTATGCCAGAGTACTTTGATTTTGGGACCGATGAGATGGCCTCTGTTCCTGTATGGGTTAAATTCCCAAATTTGCCGTTGAAATGCTGGTCTCCCAGGTGCCTTTCTAAGATTGCTAGCAAATTAGGCACGCCTATACAAAGTGACCAGCTCACCTTTAGCATGTCGAGAATTTCCTATGCTAGAGTCCTTGTTGAACTGGATTTACTTGTTGATCTCAAATCTTCTATTGTCATTAACTTACCGAATGGAGCCACTCTGAATCAACCGGTGATATATGAGACACTTCCTAGATTTTGCAAGTTGTGTAAAGTCCTTGGGCACAACACAGGAACTTGTACCTCCCACCCTGCACCGAAGGTGGCAAGACCTTTGGGCAAGAACAACCATCCCACTATAGTAGCAAGCAGGGGTCGTAGTGTTTTTGATCGCTTAGGGTCTGTTGCAGAGCCTAACCTTGAGAAACCTAAAGGCCAGATTGGGGAGTCTTCATATAACTATGACCCTATGACCACTGAAGTTGTCGTGGCTAATGATGGATGGGAAATTGTTAAAAGCAAGAAAGCAAGGAAATCTCCTAGCATACCTGTTAGTGCCACAACCGCAGCTGAGCAGGTTTCAACCACCCCCACTAAAGGTAAAGCACCTGCTAACTCATCTTCAGGAGGTATTCATACCTCTGTTTGCAACCTCCCCATCATCCATAATGGCGAAGAACCAGTTGGAGTAGTCCCATACAAGAAAGCTTCTAATGTGGTTCCTGTTGGTGTCACTACCATATATGGTCAGAGAAGGCGTCCATCTAGAGCAGCTGGGAGTGGTAGGGTTCCCCCTCCAACCCTTCCTATGTAATGTTATTATTCAGCTGGAATGTCAGAGGGCTTAACAGTCCTCTGAAACAGCATGAGCTGGTTCGTCTCATGCAAAAACATAAAATTGATGTCTGTGGTCTCCTAGAGACCAAATTGTCTTCTTCCAAGCTTCAGTCTATGCACAGGTTTCGGCTGAAGCACTGGAATCTAGTCTCTAATGTAGGCACTGCTAGCACTGCTAGAGTGATTGTGTTATGGAATCCTTCTACTGTTCATATGGATGTGCTTGATTATTCTCCCCAGTTTATTCATGTTTCCATTCGATGCTTATCTTCGCATATTATTTTTGCTGCTTCTTTTGTTTATGGTTACAATACCATTTCTGGCCGTAGAACTCTATGGGATGGCCTCAAATCTTGGGCTCCAACTGGTCCCTGGCTTGTGTTGGGAGATTTCAACTCCACTCTTTCTCAGGATGACAAATATAATGGTGAACCGGTCTCTTCCTATGAAGTCTCTAATTTTAGAGCATGCTGCTTAGAGCTTGGGCTTTCAGATCTAAACTACACTGGCTGTCATTATACTTGGTCCAATAGGACTGTTTGGACTAAAATTGATCGTGTCCTAGCCAATCCTTCATGGAACAATCTTCAGCTCACTTCTCATGTGCATTTCCAACCTTCAGGAGCTTTCTCTGATCACTCAGGAGCCCATGTTCGCATAGGTGGCAGTTCTCCTCCAGGTCGTCGGCCTTTTAAGTTTTTCAATATGTGGGTTGACCACTCGGACTACGCAGGCCTGATTTCTGATGGATGGCAACTCCAAATCGAAGGCTCTCCCATGTTTATCTTGTGTAGGAAGCTCAAATCTTTAAAACAACCCCTAAAGAGTCTAAACAAGTTGCATTTCAGCCACATCTCAGAGAGAGTTGCTAGAATGGAGGCTGACTTGGAGCAATACCAACACCTCTTGCATGATTCCAGAGATGATATATCTCTCCTGAACCGGGTTAATGCACTTAAGATTAATCTTCTTAATCTTAAATCTGCTGAGAAGGCCTTCTTCTCTCAGAAGCTGAAGTGCACTTTTTTCAAGGACAGTGATAGAGGTACAAGTTTTGTTCATGCTCTAATGAGCCACAGACATAGGAAAAGCTTCATTACTGCTCTTCAGTGTAGCAACGGGGATCTAACTACTACTATAGATGAAGTATTCCTGCTCTTCAGTGTAGTAACGGGGATCTAACCACTACTATAGATGAAGTTGGTGCTGAATTTCTTCATTTCTATCAGAGTCTTCTTGGCACCTCCTCGACTATATCTCCTATTGATGAGGAAGTTGTTCATAGTGGCCCTTGTCTGGATACTAATCAATCTGATTTTCTTCTCGCTCCTGTCACCAATGAAGCCATCAAGGAAGCTCTCTTCAATGTTGGAAACAATAAAGCTCCTGGCCCTGATGGATTCTCTTCTCTTTTTTTCAAACAGTCATGGGATATTGTGGGAGCTGATTTTTGTGCAGCAGTCAAGGATTTTTTTTCCTCTGGACGGATTCTAAAGCAGATCAATCATTCCATTATTGCTCTAGTTCCAAAATCTGCTAATGTTAATTCTGCAAATGACTTTCGGCCCATTTCATGTTGCAACGTGGTTTACAAAGTCATCTCCAAAATTCTTGCAGGACGGCTACGATGTGCCCTCCAAGGTATCATTAATCCAGCTCAAAACGCTTTCCTTGGTGGGAGAAGCATGATTGATAACATTAATTTGACTCAAGAATTACTCCGGCATTATGGTAGGAAGAGGACCTCCCCCCGATGCCTCATCAAAGTTGACTTCAAGAAAGCATTTGATTCAGTGCAATGGCCTTTTCTTAGAGCTCTCCTCCATCTATTAGGTTTTCCCCAGCGATTTGTTCATCTGGTGATGCTTTGTGTGGAAACCCCCTCCTATTCTGTTGTTATTAATGGCAATCTTTATGGTTTCTTCCCTGGAAAATGTGGAGTTCGGCAAGGCGACCCTCTCTCTCCCTATGTCTTCCTAATATGTATGGAATACTTCTCCCGTATGCTGGGAATGGCCAGTCAACAGCAAGCTTTTCACTTTCACCCAAAGTGTGCGCCTCATCATATTTGTCATCTTGCATTTGCTGATGATGTTCTCTTATTATGCCGAGGGGATTGTTCCTCTGTCCAAATTCTGGTTGAGCAGCTTCAAGCTTTTGGCCAAGCTTCAGGACTTCATATTAATCCATCAAAATCCTCTATATATTTTGGTGGTGTTGGTGACAGCTTGAAACAAACTATCCTCCAAGATTCTGGTTTCTCAGAAGGTAGCTTTCCCTTCAAATACCTTGGGGTCCCTCTCAGCCCCCACAAGCTTCTAGCTAGCCAGTTCTATCCCCTTCTGCATCAACTTGAAACTGCTATTCAAAGCTGGATGGGGAAAAACTTATCTTATGCTGGGCGGCTGGAACTAATTGGCTCTGTTTTAGCTGGAATGGTTCAATTTTGGCTTAGTATCTTTCCCCTACCAGAGAGTGTTATCAATCAAATTACTTGTATTTGCAGGAACTTTCTCTGGACTGGTAATACAGTTAGGAATGCATCTGCATTGGTTGCTTGGGAAAACATTTGCCTGCCAAAAGCTGAAGGAGGTCTTGGTTTATTTGACATTAAAGCAAGGAACAATTGCTTTCTTGTGAAGCAGCTATGGAATATTCATCAAAAAGCTGACTCTATTTGGATTCGTTGGGTGCACCATTTTTATTTGCAAGACACTAACATCTGGACAGTTCCCTTGCAACAAACCTCCTCCCCCTTATGGAAATCTTTCATTAAACTTCGTGACCATCTCCTTGATGACTGTGGAGGGCAACCAGCAGTTATCTCCATGTTGCAAAGTTGGGCTAATTCTACAAAGTTTTTTTCAGCTAATGCTTATGAATACTTGAGAACCAAAGGAACCCCAGTCTCTTGGATGAATGTGGTTTGGGAGCCCTGGTGTCTTCCGCGACATAGTTTCATCCTGTGGCTTGCCTTGCTGAAGCGGCTGCGAACAAAAGACAGGATGCATTTCGTTGACATTGATGTTAGTTGTGTATTTTGTCAGGATCATGAAGAGAACCACGACCACCTATTTTTTGCCTGCAGCTGGACCTCCATCTTGTGGATGAAAGTTAAATCCTGGCTTAGACTAAGGAGAGGCATGACCACCATCAACAATGCAATTCGGGGCCTTCCTCTCAAAGGAAAAGCTGTTGTTACTAGAATGAAAAGAGTATCCCTCAGCGTTGTTGTTTACTTGATATGGGAAGAAAGGAACAGAAGGGTTTTTGAAAATTCTTGCTCCCCTGTGGAGCCTATATTTCGGCGGTTTCAAGTGTTATTCTACATGATATTACGCTTTCATCAGCGTGATCTCCCCATTCCTAATTGACTAAGTTGCTGATTGTTATGGGATCACCACTTGCTGTTGCTTTCTTTGGCTGGACTTTGGTCTATGTCACTGCGATTGGCTGCATCTCCTTAGCCTCTGCATGGCTATACTGGTTGATGAGCCTCTGCATAGATGCCTTGGTGTCTTCGCATGGTGGAGTTGGGATTGCTCTATTTTTGCATGGGTTTTGTTGTGTGACGCTGCATGAATGATCTGTTGTCTTATGGTTGGCTGCATCTCCTCAGCTGCATGAAATGATATACTGTCTTATGGTTGGCTGCAATTCCCTAGCCTCTGCATGGATAATTTGGTGTCTTTGCATGGAACAGTATCTCCTTCTCCTCTGCATGGTATTCCCACGTCCTTGCATGGGGTAATGGGTGCTATTGGTTATTGGTTGCATGGAGTTCTGATGTCATTTAGTTGTGCTGGTGGGATGGTTTGGCCTTTATAATTTCTCTCTGTTAGGAGCCAGACATGCTTGGCGGTTCTGCATGGGTGAGCAGTTGTCCACCGTTTATTGGCTGCTTGGTCTTCTCGGCTGTAATTGGGATGGACCCTCCTCTCTGCATGGTTGACAATAGATTGTGCCTTTTGCATTAATGACTGGCGTTATATCTGGCATGGTTGAGCTGTGTTTGCAGGGCTGAGTAGGGCATTTATTATGGATGGGGGGCAGATTGGCTATTCTCTTCATCGGTATGCCAAAACAATTTCTTTGCATGAACTTGCATGTACTGGACGTGCGTGCTTCCTCATTTCTGCATGGGTGGAGTAGCTGGCCGTTGGTTGTTAGTGCTTTAATATGCTTAACTTGGTTCATTTAATTTGGATGGGTGGAAGCTTCTGATTACTTTTG